ACACACACACACACACACACACACACACACACACACACACACACACACACATCTTAATAGGAAAAGAAGAGACAAGATGAGCCTTCTCCCAACTCCCTTACCCTTCTGCCTCACCAAGCACTGAGGACATTGAGAGCTGTCTGCTCCTTCTTGCTCCTGAGTGGGAAGTCCCCAGAGGTGTGACAGACCTTCAGGCACAGCCTGGATGTCTGTGTCGCCCTGTGTGACCCTACTCAAACTCCACTTTCAGGTGAATGAATTCAAGGTCTACACCCCCACCCGCAAAGTGACTATTACTTTGCCACAGTGACTAATCAAGACCTAGTGTGTCCTAGAGGACTCAAATCCTGTCACCACAGCTTGGATAATGGTGAAGGGCCTACTTGACTTAGCTTGCTTGGGGATTTGGTGGGGTTGTATGAAAAAGTCATTTTCCTACTCAAAACAGAAGGCAGTTCCCATCCCTGTGAGGACTGGCAGTCATCTTGTGCCCATGAAGCAGACTGACTTGAAGATCCCTAGGAACAGGGGTGAGTACTTGGAAAGAGCATGGTGGGGACTCTGAGAAAGCTGGTCAGTTGATTTCCCACAGAGAGGAGACAGAAAAGCACCTCAGAGACAACCCAGTGCTTGCTGGATGCTCCCATACTGTAGACATTTCAGTCATAAGAAACAGTATATGATAATCTGGATTTAAATAACTTCCATGCAAATACACACTAATTAATACATTTCATTTCAAAGTCACATTTTTGTTATCAGGAGAACATTATTACATTGGCATTCTGATTCCAAAGTTAGCAGATCAATGGAGCATTATTGGACATGACCCAAGGACATCAAACCTGTTATTTTTGAAACCATAAGATTATGGCTAATTGCTAATTATTTCAAGCATTAAGAAGCATCGCATGCTCCTGAACCAAGGTCTCTCATTAGCAGTGCTAATTTTGCTGGCCTCCACCCCCAGTCTCGTCTCCCCCTACTCTGCTGCTGCCAGAACCCCTCCCTCTCTCTGTGGCTGGTTTTGTCTTTTGTGTCTGTGTGAGAGCCCTGGAGGGAAACATGGGCCAGAGGAGACAGAAAGCCAATATGGCTTACCCAGCCCACCCACACTTAAACGCTACATAACAGAGATTCATTGCAGCCCCCAATTGCCCATCCACACCCAGCTGTGGTACTCTAATTCTTTACATTCAGTTAACAGCTGCTGATCTAACCTCCACCTAGCAGCTCTAGTCAAAATACCTAGCAGACTTTAAGGTGCATGAAACTATTTCCAGGTCCGCTTAGCAATCTTTTCTTCCAGGATCCTCCCATGATGAAAATAACTGATGTTGACCCCAATAACCAATTATCCTTGGCAATTTACAGCTTTGTCTTTATTTCTCTTCTGTTGCATTTCCACACACTGACTCCATTTCCTAGTATGGACCGGCCAGGCCTTAGTGCAGTGGTTCTCAACCTGTGGGTCATGACCCCTTTGGAGCTGAATGACCTTTTCACAGGGGTCACCTAAGATCATCGGGAAACACAGATATTTCCATTACACTTCATAATGGTAGCAAAATTACTGTTGTGAAGTAGCAACAAAAATAATGTTATGGTTGGGGGGGGTCACCACAACATGAGGAACTGTACTAAAGAGTCGCCGCCGTAGCCGGGCGGTGGTGGCGCACGCCTTTAATCCCAGCACTCGGGAGGCAGAGCCAGGCGGATCTCTGTGAGTTCGAGGCCAGCCTGGGCTACCAAGTGAGTTCCAGGAAAGGCGCAAAGCTACACAGAGAAACCCTGTCTCGAAAAACCAAAAAAAAAAAAAAAAAAAGAGTCGCCGCATTGGGCAGGTTGACTACCATGCCTTAGTGAAAACAGAAATCACCTCCAAGCCTCTTTAGATTATCTCGGCTTCCCCTGTCACCAAAGCCCTCAGTGACCATATCCAGCATTTATCGAGCTCTGGCCAGGTTTCACTCAGGTGCCCCCGGCTGCTTGCTCCTTGTGCTCCACCAATATATCTACAACACGCCGTCTGAGAGACGGGGGGGTTTGCACTCCTGCTCCTCCCCCATCCTGAGAGACTCATGTAGCAAACCTCTGACCAATCTAAGACCGTGGCTCACAATTAAACTTCCTTTATGAGTTTATAATTAGCAGGTCCCTGGTAAGGAGCAGCGTCCGGTAGGGAAGACTCACTTTGGCGCATTGAGGGGACAGCCCATCTTGGAGGGGAAGTCATCGAGGCATGAGAGGTTCGTGGCTGTGGCAGGAGGAGAACAAGGCTGCTTGCCCACACCTCACTGGACCAGGAAGCAGACAGAGAGGACAAGAGGCAGGACTGGGCTATCAGTGTCCCACTCCAACTTCAAGTCCTGCTCCTTCAGCTAAATCTTACCTCCCAAAAGTTCTGCCACCTCCGCCAACAGCACCCCCAGCTCGGAACCAAGCATTCAAACACATGAGCCCATGGAGGCCATTTGAGTCCAAGTCCTAAGACTCTTGATTTGGGGTGGGCTGTGGCCTATTGGCTAATTGGATGACATTGCTTGAGTCACCTGGGCTGATACTCACTGGGGAGGCTTATGGAGCATCTTCCTGGGGACTCTCCTTCCTTCTCAGACTCACTCCACCCTCCCGCCACACCCACCGCCCTGATAAAATGGACTTATATATGAGTGTGTGCACTAAAGCATTCATAGTATGAACATGGCTTCATCACGCGCTTTCTTAGCGGTTCAGTCGCAATATGGGTACTCTCCAACTGAAAGGTCGCACGCACGAAACTCTGACACTGGTTTCTTACCAGAACAATAAGGAAACAATAACTGGCATGTACCGGGCTTGTTAGAAAGTAGGTTAGTGTATCTACTCTCTAAATATTAACTCATTTCATCTTCCCAGAGCATCCAAATGACTTTCCTTCCTAATCACTCATTTACAGCTGTGGAAACAAGGCACAGAAGAGTTCAGTCCAAGGACACAGAGCCGGCAGGTGATGAGTCTACAGTCCAGCCCCTCCTTGACATGTGTCTCCCCCCCTGGATTTGTTACACTGAGCATAAGGCTGCTCCCTTATTTCTCTGCAATTTTCCTTGTCATGTAAGTCAGCCAAGAACTTGAAGATACTCATCTGTCTCGGCCTCTCTTCAATCTTCTAGTCTCTCCTCTCATTGAAACCTGGCTGGCTTCCCATTCAGGTAATTTGCTAAATCATTAATACGATGATGCATCCGGCCAGCAGGCAGAAGGATGGGATCCATGGTAAATCATCAGGGATTTATGTCCAACTTCATCACTCTTGATCCAGCAGTATCGGCTCTCACATCATAACAGTCCCTGTTTATTCCTCTAATCTATGAGAGCAGAGAGGAAATCATTAGTCACCTTAGCAACGGCCAGACACGCTACATAAATCTGAATCGAGTGTTCTGGCAAGCTTATCAGAAAGGGACTCAGGTTTATGGTGCACATTTCCCTCTTGGTGAGTTTGTATCAACACTAAATGGTCATTATTTCTTAATAAATATAAATATACTAGAATCTTGCTTTGGGACCCCTGCAAACTTGCCAAATAGAAATGTCACTTTCCTTCTAAAAAAATTTAATCTGTTTCTTTGTGTGTGTGTGTGTGTGTGTGTGTGTGTGTGTGTGTGTGTGTGTACGCAGAGTCCAGAAGGAAACCTTGGATGCCATTCCTGAGACACCATTTGTATTTATTTACTTTTGAGACAGAGTCTCTCACTGGTATGGAACTCACCAATTAGGCTAGGTTGATTGGCCTAAGAGCCATAAGGATCCACCTGTCTCCACCATACTCAGCATTGTTTTTTCATGGATTCTGAGGATTGAATTCAGGTCCTTCATGATTGCAAGGCCCACTGAGCTCTCACCTCGACCCCTGTCTATTTCTTTCTTGCCAATCTTTCCATTTGTCTTCTAATCCACAGGGATCCTTCGGAGGCATGGCAATGCTTCTCCAGGGCCAGCTCTCCCTGTGCCCCTCAGGGTTATCTCTACAGATCAGGGGACCTACATTTACCTGGGGTGAGAAGCCGCTCAGCAGAACCCATCTGCCTAGACCTTGAGTTCTCACTCACCAAACTGGTCCTGATGCTGGCTTATTCTTTGAATGAGAGTCAAGTTACATCTGAGATGCTGCTTCATCTTCAGACCATCCATGCTGCTCTGGCAACGGCTGGGTGCTTGTTGCATTTTGAGTCTCTCCATGTTTTTACAGGTCATTAAGACACGTGACCATCAGTAAAACACTACTTGGCTGCACCCACTCACAGGGCAGAGCCTAAAACATGCGCCTTCTCATCTCCTTTCATTTTTGGTTTGGTTTTTTAAATACTTTATTTCGACATTTGGGGATGGCACACACCTTTAATCCTAGCACTAGGGAGGCAGAGGCAAGTAGATCTCTGTAAGTCTAGGCTAGCCTGGTCTACAGAGTGAGTTCCAGGAGAGCCAGGGCTACACAGAGAAACCCTGTCTCAAAAAACAAACAAAAAAAGAAAGGAAGAGAGAAAGAGAAAGAAAGAAAGAAAGAAAGAGAGAGAGAGAGAGAGAGAGAGAGAGAGAGA